GCCACCTGGCTGCAAGGAGTGGTGCGCTAGGGTACTTGTACTGGCCTTTCAAGTCCATTTATCTTGGATGTTATTGGGAGGAGGGGTTAAAGCCACCTCTTGGCCCCCTCCCCACTGGTGATCTTCTGAGGGTCTCTTTCTCCCCAGTGAATGCTGCTAGTGTGATCCCCAAGCCCATCGCAGTCCCAGCTGGTGCTCCCTCACCACCATCAGAGAACTAACTCTTATTCACCCCCATAGCCCCCACACCAAAACTCTGTCAGAGCCAGGACCATTTGATATTTATGGGGAGAAGGTTAAAGTCACAGGCCAGGTTTGGAGGCCCTACTCCCCGCTCCCTCCCTTTCCTTACAGGCCCAGCTGTCTTGTCCCCTAAATCCTGAGAAATAGATACTAAAGCCTTCCCTCCCTGGCTCCCATTTTTCTCTCCCCAGTTAGATATCCCTTTCCCTGAGTTCAGTCCATAGCTGGGAGTCTCTCCTTCACATGTCAGGCTTCGCGGCCCCTCAGGGCTGGGCGGAGGGGGTCCCTGACCCGGCAGTCAGGACTCAGGTACCAGGCAGGGGTTTCTAATTAGGCAAGGTGGCGGTGGCAGCTGGGCCTTTTATTATGGGCACAGGGGACCTCATCCATACCCAGCTCCAATATGCACATCCCAGTCACTTCCCGCCCCTCCCTGCCCCATGGAGTAGCCAGGGAATGAGTGAATGAATGAACTAATGAGTCACCCCAGTGCCCTGCCTCCTGGCCTTGCAGCCCATTGGGTCTCCCAGTTCTCCATCTGGGGCAGAGGAAGAAAATGTCAAGAAAGCAGAGTCTGAAGAATATGAGGTGGGTTAGGTAGACAGAAGTCTCCCTATTAAGTGTAGGGGTTCTATTCAGACCATTTGGGGTTTGAAGACAGGGTTCCACGGAGTCTGGGAAGGAGAGTGGCTAGTGGACCAGAATTAGAACTGAACCATAGAAAGAGCATTCAGCCGGTTGCCAGTAGTGGGACACTGGGCAGGACTACTTAGAGTGTGACTTAAAGTGATCAACAGGAGAGGCTTCACAGAGGATGTGGCTTGGCATAACACTGCTGGAGGGACCTAAAATGATGGGGTGACTTGAATGGCAGGTCCAGCAGGTCAGGGGCGGAGCTTCCTCTTTCTACCTCTCCTCCATCTGTCCTTCTTCTCATCCCCCACCACTGCCCCCCCAAAAAGACACACTGAGAAATCAGAGCCGGGTGGACTAGGTGGTTGAGGAGTTTATTTAGGGGAGGAGAATTAATCCTATTTGTTCTTCCTTGGGGAGGTCTTCAAACAATACTGAAGGGCAAGGAAAAGGGTGGGTGTCTGGAGGAGAGGGGGAGGGACCACAGCCAGACAAAGTGGCAACACACAATCACAGGCACTACCGACGTCACAGACACAGCAGTGGGTGCAGGATAGGGACTCCAGACCGGGTCTCCAACCACCCCAGGATGGGTGGGGGTATGGAAGGAGGGAGGAGGCAAGGAAAGGGGAAGAAGGGTGGGCTGGCCCCACAGACCTGTTGGCTCTGTCCTCTGATTACCTACCTGTCCCATCATGGGGGTGGGCAAGGGTGTGGAGGATGCTTCTCTCTGGGTCCCACCCCTCACCCTCCAAGCTATACCTCTTAGCTCCTCCCAGGCCAGTTCAGTCCCCAGCCTTGGCCAGGGATATTCCTGCCCCCCCCCCCAACTGCCAAACTTGCCCACTCTAAAACATATTTTTTCACTGCTCCATTAGGGTGGGCTGCCCCTTCTGAAACCACCATGAACACCCACTCTAAGCCCTGCCCTGCCTAGAACCCAGACCATGATCTCACCTCAAGCTTAGCCCATTCCTGAATCCCACTTCTTCCCTTGCACAAGATCTATCCCCTTTAGAATCAAACTCATTCTCCTGAATGTTCCTAGTTACACCCCTTCCATAGACCGGTCCCAACACAAGACCTGCCCACTTTGGAGCCTTCCCCATTACCTGATTCAGGCCCCACCCCTCTAGAACCATGCCCTCTATGATCTTCCAAATGCAGTCTCCAGGTTCCAAGTCACACCCCTTACACAAAATCCTGTCCTACTCCAAACCCTGCCCACTCTTGGGGCCCAACCCCTGCCTCACTCAAGGCTCCACCCATTCTAGAACCATGCCCTCAGCCTCCTTCCAAGACCCACTCCAGAATGCCCTAGGGCATCTCTCTTCTGACTCCAGATCCAGTATGGCTGACTAGTCCTCTCCACCCCAGAGCTCCTCTCCAAGTCCACCTTGCATCTCAAGTCCACCAGTCTACCTTTATCCCCTCTCAGGTTTGAATTTCCCCTAATGGCCCCTGTCCAGGCATTGCTGGAGGAATCCAGGCCAAGTTGGGAGAAGGGAAGGGAGAGAGGGGAGAGAATCTGAAGTCACACCCACCCTCCCCACATAGCTGAGATCTGTTTTTTCCCTGTCCCCCTTTCAGAGTCCCCCAACCTCAGGGCACAGGGCCAGAGAACAGAGAGGGGCCAAGGGATGCGAGGGAAGCAGTGGGGGTAGGAGAGGGGCCCACTCAAGGTCAGGCCCCTAATGCATGAGGGGTGTGGAGTGGGGGCAGGGCTCAGACAGATAAATAGATATTTATATATAATATATATATATATAAACAGCAAAGAGAGTTAGAGTCTCCTGGCTTGAGGGGCGGAGACCTGGGGTGTAGGGGTGGGAAGGGGGGCAGGGCTTCTGAGCTCTTGCCCACCCATGGGGTCCTCCCGGGCTGCACTGACCTGTGGAGACAAAAGACACAGAAAGGAGAGGGGGTCCAGACTTAGGTTGTACCCTTAGGGAGGGGGGCTGGGCTTCTATGCCTCCACCTTGGCTTTACTCTCTGTCTGCCATGCTTTTTCTTCCTTCTTCCTTCACTCATAGTCCCCTAGCTGCTCCTATTGGGAAGATATACCTTGCGCCCACTAGGTTAAGTATCAAAGACATTATGGTCACCCCTCCCCCAACCCCCAAAAGTCCATTTACAGGTAATGTTCTAGCCATTGGTGATCAACTGTATTGGGCAAAACAAAAATCCTTATCTTTGTGGTGCTTCCATTGTGGCAGAGGAGACAGACTTCAAACAATAACGAAAATGTATAAGTGAGTTGTAGGATGACATAAGGAAATAATAAGGGAAATGTAAAAACAAAAAGTAGACCAGGGTGAGGGGGATTAGGAGTACCAACAGGGGAAGAAATGTTGCTGTAGTAAGTAGGGTAGTCAGAGAAGACTTCATTTAAGAAGTGATATTGGAATAAAAAATTAAGGAGGTGAAGGAATTTGCCATGCAGATAACTGGAATGAAGAGCATTTCAGGCAGGGGGAACACCCAGTGCAAAGTCCCTGGAGTGGAACCATGTCTAGTGTGTTTGAGGAACAGCAAGGAGGTCCGTGGGGCTCGAGTGGTATGAGCATGGGAGGAGGTGATGTCAGAGAGGTAGGTAATGGGGTCATATAGGGCCTTGTGGACTAGGTTGGGAGGACATTAGTTTTGACTCTGGATGAGGTGTAAGTCATGGGAAGATTTTGAGCAGAGAAGCATAAAATGAGAGTAAAATATCTTATGTCGTTTCTATTATTTCCTCAATAAATGTTTCTTAACATTAGTAGGGCTCTGATATATGTACAGCATAAATAAGTCATGGTGACATCCCCTAGTTTAGTGGAAGAGATAGTCAGTAAACATATTAACTAATAATCATGGACTGTGATAAAGAAAAGCACGGGATACTAAAACAGAGATAAGAAAGGGGACTTGGGGCGCCTGGGTGGCTCAGTTGGTTAAGTGTCCGGCTTCAGCTCAGGTCATGATCTCCCAGTTTGTGAGTTTGAGCCCCTCGTTGGGCTCTGTGCTGACAGCTCAGAGCCTGGAGCCTGCTTTGGATTTTGTGTCTCATTCTCTCTCTGCCCCTCCCCTACTTGTGCTCTGTCTCTCAAAAATAAATAAATGTAAAAAAACTTAGAAAGGGGACTAGTAAGCCGCTGGCCAGGTAAGGTTATCAGGGTATGTGGGTGCAAAACTCCAGGGGGAGAGCAAGTACCACGGTCCTGAAGTTGGATTGTGCCTGGAACAGAGTTGGGGTGGGGAGTGGTAGGAAGCAGGAGGTCAGAGAAGTGATGGGTAAGGCTTTGTGTAGACCCTGGTGAGGGCATTGGCTTTTAATGTGAGATGGGAGCCCAGGCAGAGCTCTGAGCACAGGAGGGCAGTGTCCTGATTTAGAATTTAACAGGATCCCTCCCAATGCTGTGAGTAGAACAGAATGGGAATGTGGGTGGAAAGCTATGAAGATGTCCAGGCTCAGAGAGGACAGTGAGAAGTGGAAGATTATGGATATATTTTGAAGGTAGAGTCAACAGGGTTTTTTGATGAATTAGATGTGAGGTATCTAATAAACTCTTCCCTATCCTTTCCATACTGGCCAAGTGCAAGAAGCTACCTCCACCCACGTGTTGCCATCCCCCTGCCTCTTCTCCCCATTTCCTTCCCTCCTACGTGAGGAAATCACACTTCCCTTTTCAGGCCCAGCAAAAAGGCCCGCAAGCTTTCGCATTGCCTTCGCCGCCCCCTTTTCCTTCTGTGAAATTCCACACCACCTCCCTCACCACTAGGGTTGGGGA